CACACACACACACACACACACACACACACACACACACACACACACACACACACACACACACACACAAAGAAATGAGGGGTTTTTGCACAGCATGGTACCTCTTAGTCTAGTAAGGGATACCATACTAGTCCCAGAATATAAATAAAGTACTGGGAATGAGCGTTACAGATCCTGTTTTATAGAGTGATAATTTAGTGACCCAGTACAGTTTTCTTTGTATTGCAGATTTTGAATGAGTGGGATTTGAACTGGCAGCCATTTTTAAACTGGCTGAAGAACATGTCAAAACCAAAATGTCAAACCTGTAAGGGCTGCTCCAGGTTTCCTCATCTTGTAGAACCACTCCTAAGGCGTAAATCACCAACGTCTGAAAGTAACAACAACAACAACAACAGTGTTTAGGTGTAACAAAACTGCTGTATTTTAACCTCAGCTGGGAAAACTGAGGGAACAACGCACTTTAATAGGGAAGGAAGAAAAATAAAACAAAACAGGAATATCACTTGCTTGACTTTAAATAAACATTCAAAAGTTGCATCTAAAAAAAAAAATAAAATAAAATAAAATCCTCGGTTTATGTTTCTTACGCTATTTAATGTTTCTATCTGTTCTTGTTTACCATTAACACAGCAAACACTGTGTTTGTGCAGCTGAAATAATCTGGCTGAGAGCCGCAGACGCCGGGAAACCGGATACCTCTTTGGGGATGACGTGCTGATCGACTTTGCCCTCCACTTCCTGAAGCCGAGCCGCGACGGGGGTGAGCTTGGCAGTCCTCACCGTCTCGTTCAGGACCTGTTGGCAGTATCTACGCGAGGACGGAAATGCGATCGCATCAACGTTATTGGCTGCACCGCGTGTGAAGGACGACTCAAGAACGCCTAAATACGTAAAAGTCCAAAAGTCTTACCTGAGCTGAGGAATCTTGTCGAGGGAAACCGGATCAGAACCCAATACGTCCTCCAGCTCCTGGTGCAACTTGTCCTGCACTTCCTCTGAATTGGACAGGAAGTAAAGAGCCCAGATACACACTGCCAAAACACCACAGTGTGTAATCTTAGAATCAGAATAAAACAACATTTTGCTAATAAAAGATAAATAAAAGTTAGATTTTGTTTGCTTTTAGAGCTAAAAGTTCATTACATTATTGTTAAGTGCCTATCAGACAACTCTGGGAAACTGTGCTTATAAAAATTGTGTCTTGCAGGCTTCACATCCTCTGATTCAGGCCACTTACAGTTCGCAGCGATGACACATCCAGCCAAAGTGAACACCATGCAGTCCTCCATGATCTGAAACAAACAATCAAGATTTCAGCGTTTTTTTTTCTTACCTCTGTGAAAGCGCTGGGGATGTAAAGCAGAAGCTCATCAGCATTCACCTGTCGCTCTGTGAAGTTGGACTGCAGCAGAGCGTCCACAAACACCGCCTGCTTCCTCTGGGCTTTCCTGTCCTTCGCCACAGACAACAGCAAAGACTCCATCTCTGACAGAGCTGACCACCGAGGAGGAAAAAACAAGATGAGAGCCGTGGCGACTCCGACCACATTCAAGGGCTCAAAATCTGACATCCTACCCCGGCACGGTTCACAGATTTTGTCCCACAGCTGCTGGACAGGCCCTTTAAAAACATCTGGATCATCAAAACCTTGAATGTGAGGTTCCCCTGTCTGCACTAATAGGGTAAAGGGTAAATTATTCTCACACCTGGGGAGCCACTTTTTGAGAACTGGGTGTCAGAGTTACATGAAGTGACATGAACAAGTGTCAGACACTCTCTGTGGGGTTACACATTAAATGCAGTCTTTGCAGCCCTTTCTGACAGCACCCAAAATAGCATCTGTCCTTGGCAGGCAAATCCCTATCGATCCTATCCAAACAAAGCCTGTCTGCTGATTAAGGTGGTAACCGTGAATGTGCTCGGTCTGTCTGTCAAGAGGCTTAACACAGAGATAACATCGGAGCCTCTGCAGACTTTCCATTTGGCTTCACCACACAAAGCCAGACACCGCTCCCACACGTTGACACGCCTCCTTCGCTCACCCTTCTCATAGTGCGCTTTCCTGCTGGAGCTCTTCTCCAGGGAGCCGTCTAGGTAGCCCTTTCCAATTTCTGACCAGATCTGGAGGCGTGAGTCAGAAGAGCAAAAAAAAAATTTAATAAAAATCAATGATCAGTTACAGAGCCTTAAACTCCCTGCAGAACTTTAGCATGGTGCATTTTTGATTAGCATCCCAATAAAGTAAAGTTTTGTGTCCCCCAAGCTTACTGCACAGAGGTTTGTGCTAAAATTTCTCACCGCATCGTGGTTCTTGCGGAAGGCAAGGACCTCAGTGTCGTCCCCGAACCGCTCGCCCAGAGCCAGTTGGGTGACCGTCTTCATGGCCAGGCCCAGCAGGTGGGCACACAGAGGCGTGTGCTGACCCTCTGGGAATGACTTCCACTTTTTCACCAGCTCATCCACCAGCTAAGAAACAAGATATCAGTTAGCAGGAAGTGTGAGGAAGTTTTTGGTTTTCTTATTTATTTTAGAAAAATTATTTCTTGGCTTTGGAAACCTTGAGCACAAGCGGGAAGTTGTTTTTCAGCGTGCTGTTGATGGCACTTTCGTACACTTTTTTTCTCATGATGGACTCGCTGGCCCCACCTCCCATCCCGGACTTGTAGCCGAGCAGCGACTTCAGCATCGTTTCAAAGGAGTCGGCTAAAAAGGAAGCAGGAAACAGCAGATTTATGCATAAGGATGTTCTTCTTTTCAATTAGATATTTTTCCCCAACAAATTCCTGAGTGTAAGAAAAGTTGCTGATCCAAACTGGTTTGCTTACTAGCGTGGTTGGGGTTGATGTGTTGCTGAAGCTCGCTTACGGAGCCCAAGCTGACCACAGGGCGACCACCAAACCAGAACGAGGCCACGGAGCCGTACTCATCATGCAGGCCGACGAGGAACTCATGCAGACTGCCTCTGTCGATGATATCCTGCAGGTTTCCATCCCTGGAGAACAGAAAATAGAACATTAACGCACATATGCTTATATTTACTGACAAAAGCTATTAGGATTACAGAATCAGAATCAGAATCAGAAAGGGTTTATTGCCAGATGTTGAGCAGGTTTACAACATTAGGAAATTGCTGCGGTGCTTCAGTGCAACATACTGTCATAAAAATATAAAAATAAGAATAAGAATTAAAAGTGCTAAGTGGATAGATATATACATGATATATACATGAGTGCAGGAGGTGATCAGTGCCAAACATGGAATGATGCAGTGAACACAGCGTAGGGTCATGTGTTTGTGGCGGGGACAGTCATATGGTTATTGTTCATGTGTCCGACAGCAGAGGGGAAGAAACTGTTCTTATGGCGAGAGGTTCTGGTGCGAATGGACCGGAGCCTCCTGCCTGAGGGGAGCAGGTCAAACAGACTGTGTCCAGGGTGAGAAGGGTCAGCTGAGATCCGAGCTGCACGCCGCAGTGTCCTGGAGGTGTACAGGTCCTGCAGAGATGGGAGTCTGCAGCCAATCACCTTCTCAGCAGAGCGCACAACACGCTGCAGTCTCTGTTTGTCCCTGATAGTGGCTCCAGCGTACCACACGGTGATGGAGGAGGTGAGGATGGACTCGATGATTGCAGTGTAGAACTGCATCATCGTCCGTGTTGGCAGGTTGAATTTCTTCAGCTGCCTCAGGAAGTACATCCTCTGCTGGGCTTTCTTAATGACGGAGGTGATGGTGGGCTCCCACTTCAGGTCCTGGGTGATGGTGGTACCCAGGAAGCGGAATGAGTCCACAGAGGTGATGGGGGTGTCAGTCAGGATGATGGGGGGGAGTGGGGCTGTGTGCTTCCTGAAGTCCACAATAATCTCCACTGTCTTCTGGGCATTCAGCACCAGGTTGTTGTGGCTGCACCAGGACACCAGACGTTCAACCTCCCTCCTGTAGGCAGACTCATCCCCGTCCGAGATGAGTCCAATAACGGTGGTGTCATCTGCAAACTTGATTAGCTTGACAGACTGGTGGGTGGAGGTGCAGCAGTTGGTGTACAGGGAGAAGAGCAGAGGAGAAAGAACACAGCCCTGAGGGGAGCCGGTGCTGATGGTCCGGGAGTCCGAGACATTCTTTCCCAGCCTCACATGCTGCTTCCTGTCCGTCAGGAAGTCAGTGATCCACCGGCAGATGGGATCAGGCACATTCATCTGGGAAAGCTTGCCTTGGAGATGGTCTGGACAGGACCCTTAAGAAGCTAATTATTATGCACAATGTAGCCTACTATATTTTACAAAATGCTGTTACTGAATAAGAGTTAACAGAAGCAGAAAAAATAAAGGTAAAGATGAAAACTTACTTCTCATCTGTGGGGTTGAGACCTGGGATACCAGAGGCCCTTCTGGATGACTGAAAATATGATTAGAAATGAGATTTTGTTGTTGAACACAAATACAAGTCATTAAACATGAGTAGTTTTTCTCACAGTGGTGTCCACATATCTACTAAGTCTTTACATAATTTAAAATAATGGCTCTGCCTGTCGGAAAGCGGGTCCCATTCAGAACCTCTTTGAAAAATACAAAATTTAAAAATTTCTTATTGAATGGCATGCGCATATGGAACATGATATCGTTTAGGGATGTGAAGTAAATTAGTTGGAGTTTAGAAATAAATCGGCTTGTAACACAAGCACATAAAGGAAACTGATAAAAATGAAAAAAAAAATCTCGTTTTCGCTCATTCCGTCTTCTTGAAGTTGGATTTCTCTGGACTAGGTCAATGAATATTATATTAAATGGGAGCCGAAATGTGCAAAATACACTCCTTACTCAATTAATTTCTTAAATAGTTCAGAATAATGTGCTCCAACTCGTGAACAAGAACTAAAACATTTAAAAGCGCTTTTTGGTTGGGACACTGGGATGAGGGCAACAGCCCGCTAATGTAGCAAGCTAACGCCAAACTTGCAGGAACTTACCGGGTACAAATAAAGGACAGCGCCCACCAGGATGATGACAAAGGTAACAGCAAAGATGGCAAAGTCCAGCATGATTGCTCGCTGTTATCAAACAGTTTCTGCTAACTTTTATTCATGTGTATTTGAATGTTTCCACCAAAAACCTCAAGGTATATCACTACCACGTCAACATCAACTGCTCGGTTATCTGTGTTCGATTATACAGCCTGGATCGCAGGCAGAGCAAAGCAATGGATCTTAGGAAAAATGACACCAAAGAGACACAAAACACGGGCAAAGACAGACAAAACGCGTTTTGTCTGTCTTTGTCCCTTTGTCGTCGGGACACAAAACAAGATCAAAGAAACAGAAATGTTGACAAGTGAGACACAAAATGATCACAAATACATAAAATGACATAAAACAACTCAAAGGGACACAAAATGACCATAAAGTCATTTTATAATGATGTAAAAAGACACACACAAAAAATCACACTGAGCAAAGGCATAAGAAACTACAAAGAATAAAAATAAAATCACACAAAGAGATACAACATGAGTAAAAATATACTCAAAAACACAAAAATGAGAAATAAGCACATAAACAGGAGCAAGGACATAAAACAACTATAAAAAGAAGAATGAACAAGACCAGAGACACTAAATAACCAGAAAGACACAAGATAAGACACAAATGACACCAAAGGGACAAAAAACAACTACAATAGGGATCGCTAAAAAGAAAAACAAAAAGAAAAGTGAAACAAAATGACGCAAAATGATGACAAAGGGACATTAAAAAGACATTAAATGACATAAAGAGAGAGAAAAACATTATGAGATGAAAAAATGACTAAAAGGGCACAAAAACACCAAAGTGACAGTAAAGAGATGCGAAACATGCACAAAGACATAAAAACAACACACTAAACAGCCACAAAATGTCCACAGAGACATGAAATAAGACACAAAATTACAAGAAAACAGAGACAAAACTTGACCAAAGTGATACAAATGACAGAAAGGTGATATAAAGCAACTAAACATGGACTACAGTCACACCGGAGACACAAAATGACTACAGAGGGACACAAAAAAGACCAAAGTTTACAATAAAAACACTCAACATGACACCGAAGACACACAGGAAAAAAGACCAGACACCACATGTCCACAAACATAAACTAATAACCTAAAATAGGACACAAAATCACTCAGAATTTTTTTTTTTTTTAGAAAACGCTTTGTATTCTGCTCAAATTAAAACTGATACATTGACACTTCAGCTCAGATGTCAGTGTAAAATCCGCGGTCAGCATTACATTTAGCTGCCTTTCAGTTCAGTTCCATCACAGCTGCTCTTCAGCTTCTCTAGAAGCCTTTTAGGATCTCAGATGATTTTTTTTTTCTTTGACTCATCTCTGTGTTTATACCTCAGCTATGCCATCCTTTGGTTAATGCACTTCAACTGGCCTGAATTTCCACTTCCAGGTTAATTTCATTAGCTTTCAGTGCAGCGCAGTAACACCATTAACTACTCCTTGGCATGATAAGTACTTTTACTTTTGATACGTTACAATGCTTTTGCAGTTAGACCAGCGGTCCCCAACCCCCGGGCCTCGGACCGGTACCGGTCCGTGAGTCGTTTGGTACCGGGCCGCGAGAGTTGAGGCTCAGGTGTGAAATGTATGGTTTTCAGTGTTATTTTGTTATCGTTTTTATCGTTAACTCGGTTTTCCTGTGTCTTTTCACGTGTGTTATGAATAAATCTTGTTTTATTTGGTACCGGTACTGGTTTTATTTTGTTGTATTTATCCGCGACACCTTAAAGGCCGGTCCGTGAAAATATTGTCGGGCATAAACCGGTCCGTGGCGCAAAAAAGGTTGGGGACCGCTGAGTTAGACCATGTAAATCAATTCAATTCAATTAAAATTTCTTCATAGCTCATTCAGTGTGCTTCAGTAGCCTGGGCAAGCAGAAAAACAGTGTAGTGAATGCAGTGAATGCTTTCTTTCATGGGTTTCATGTAGAGAAACAACTGTAAACAAAAGAGAGAAAAAACTATTCTTTAAATCTCTGTATTTAAAAAGAAATAAACATATTTCAAACGTACAAAAATAACTTAAACAACATTCACGACAAAATGCAAAAATATGTGCAAAATGACAAAAAAAGCTGTACAGTAATTTCTTAATTTTCTCAGGCGGTTATTTCTGATTTGTCCTCTAGCTTTGGAGGCTCAATCTCCATGGCCATTAGGTAACCTGAGGAGGAAGGATAAGAAAACAAAAATAAATGTTTTAAGTTGGCTTTTCCTTTTTTAAGCAGAAATGCTCAACCCACACTGCTCTCTCTCACCCTCCGTGTAGTCGGTCTCAGGTCTGATGGCGATTAAAATCCAGGCCAGGCCCACCAGCAGGGCCACCACCAGGTTGACAGTCACCCATGGGTGGAGAATTTGGTGCTCCAACCCTGTAGGCCTAAAGCAGAATCAGGTCAGTCTCTGTATCAAAACCAGACTTTTTAATGATATCGGAATATCAGATTATTCCAGCAAGCTCACAGTAGTGCCGTGTTGTTGGAATAGAGGTTGATCCGATCGCTGGTCATTTGCTGGCTCAGAGAGAGGACGAGCGCTGAGAAATACACTGTGTGCAAAAAGCAAAGCGTGTCAACTGAATCCCAAACAGAGCCCACGATGATGTGTTTCTGAAGCACAGACAGAGAAGTAGGGAGGACTCACAGAACGAGGCGAGAGCCACCGGATCCAGCGTGATGAACTCCCGTAGAGCCACGGGGCCTTTGGCCAGATTCACCCTGAGGAGAGTTTCATTTGTAGAAAACACAAACATCTAATTCATAACGTAAATGGATGCAGTATTCATTCACTTCACACTTTTAATTACAAGATTTATAAAGTGAGATCCCTGTCCCACCCCAGCTCTATAGCCCCTCACCTGAGCTCAAAGTTTCAACACGTTCTTTTTAACTGGGTACAGTTTGAACTGCACCACCACTTTTCTGATGTTGCAGATTTACTTAAGACACCTGCTCCTATCAAAAGTTTTGTTTGTAAATAAGAAAGTGTTATTCGCAAAATAAACAAATAACACTTTTTGTTTGCAAATACAAAATTTTTGTTTGCAAACATAAAAATCTGAAAGTTTTGACTGCAAAATAGTGACGTTTTATTTGCAAATACAAAAGTATTTATAATACAATAAACCTGTTTTTTGTTTGCAACTGTTAAATCCAAAATGTTTTGTTTACAAATATATGTTTTTAAAAAGCAAATTTTTTTGTTTGCAAATAGCAACATTTTGATCGAAAATACCACATTTGTCAGCAAATATAAAAATTATAAAATTTTGCTAGCCAATCACATTTTTCGTTTGCAAATATTAAAAAAATTTAACATTTTTGTGCACAAATATCAAACTTTTTTTAATGAATATTAACATTCTGGAAAATATACAAACACCGATTTTTTGGTTTGCAAATATCAAAAATAAAAAATTGTTTTGCAAGCTCATATCTTGTTTCTTGTAAATATAAATGTATAACAAGTTTTTCTCACAAATACCAAAGTTTTTCTTGCAAATACCGTGCCTGCGTGTGTTCTCTTTGTGTCCATTTTGCTCGCACAGTAGGGTTTGGCTATTTGGTGATTCTAATTTGCCAGAAGGTGTGATGTGTTTTTGTTTGCAACGTGGCGAACCATGATGGATTTCCAATGTGCAGCTTTACCTGTCGAAGGCTGCCACTGTACTGATGGCCAGCAGCATGTAGAGCAGAGACTGGGAGGGATACGCCACGCTTTGGTACTGCTCAAGCAGGTTGGACAGGGCGGTGAGGTGCTGCCCAGCTAGCATGTACACCATCACCACGTTCCACACGGCGTAGCCGGCCAGGAAGCCCTGACAGTATAGACCGAACACCCTGGAGCATGAACAGAGGAGAGGAGGAACACTGGGACGGGAGGACGGACTCGGGATTTTTATAGTCATACAGGAGACACTTTGCTGTTACCTGAAGCCTCCATGCACTCTGATGGAAACATCTCTGGTGGTCCACAGTGGCTGCATGTGCTGGAAGTCTGCCATGTTGTCCATCGGGTCGCTGGTCTTCCTCCAATCGGAGCGTTCAGCAGCCTGGAAACGCTCTGCATGCAAACACATAAAAAAAGTTAAACAAACAGCCTCATCATCAATATCGTCTTCTTCTTCTTCTGTCACTCACTATTTCTCTCCACAAACACCTTCCCGACCGGCTGGCTCTGACCCTGTGGGGCGGCGAACAGGGAATGCTGCGGCAATGGAGGAGGGGTGTCGGCGATGATGTCATCCTCCGGTATGTCCAGCTCATCGGGAAGCTGCGTCTCGACAACTTTGGACTTCCTGAAGAGTGTATGGCAAGTTAAAAAAAAAATTTTAAACTAAAAAGCCAGACTATTCTCAGGTCACAACATTAAAGATAGTAACTTGCAAATATCGAGGCCCAGCGTACGTTTGAATTTGTTCTCCTTCAATGATGGTTTACATCAGCTCAGTTATTAATTTATTGTGAACACTTGTGTGTCTCAGAGTCAATAAAGGGGAATAAACAAGAACAGCAACATTATAAAAATCAACTGTCAGCCAAATGATTTCTTTTTTTTTTTTTTTTTTTTTTTTTAAATGTGGATATCAAGCCAGAAATTTACAATTAGTGCACCTGTATTAAAATAATAAATTCTTACTTTTTCTTTCGGGGTTTCCTGACCACTTCTTCTCCATCTGTGGTCTGGTCCGCGGTGTCTCCGTTCACCAGGTCGGCGTGGTCGTCCTCAAGACCTGAAATCCAGGATTCACAACATGGGCAAAGTTTCAGTTTCAGCCAAAAGTTCAGTCCTCAGATTGCTCTAACTGCTCACATTCAGACACTTTTTTCTAAATTTGGCTCTGCAGTCTGTCATAGAGTCGCAGAAGCTCCACCCACCTGCCGTTTGTGAGAGGCAGACAATCATAAGAAAGCTGGTTTGAAGTGGGAAGAGCTAAAGTAGCTTGTTTCAGGTAGATGATGAACTGAGGGGGCTGATGCAAGATTCACAATAAGCTCCATAAGGATTACTTTGAGCTGTGAATCATGCAAAGCCACTCCAGTAGAGTCTATAGTTAAAAATATGGAGCTAGCTGAAGTTATTATTAAACAGTCTTTCTCCCCTCGCCCCCAACTGGTGGCAGCACACGGTTGCTGGAGGTTTGTTCCTGTTAAAAGGAGGTTTTTCCTTCCACCGTCGCTTGCTCTTAGGACGTTGTCTGATTGTTGGAGGTCTCTCTGTATTATTATAGGGTCCCTACCTTGCAATATAAAGCAGCGACAACTAGCAGAGACAGAATTCTTGAATTCACCTATAGTGGCAGTTTTCTTCTTCTTCCTCCTCCTCTGTGGCGGGGCCTCGACTGTGGCTTCAAGGGTCAGATGATCCCCGATTCCAGAAGCCCTGCGGCTGCCCATGCCTCCCATCTCCATCCCCTGATCTGAAGGTGGCACAAGAAGCTACAGCTTTATTTTAAACAGTGGGTGGAGGCAAATGAGGAAATTGAAATTTTTATACAGAAATTTTAGGACAAATTTGAAAAGTCTACTCTCCTTCTTTGTGGTTTTATGTTGTTATCCTTTACTTAAAATTATTCTCCAGAGTTATGGAAGAATTTTAATGGTAACAATTTGTTTTTTAGGACCTTAGTGAACATAAATGCTGTTATATATGTGCAGGCTTTCATGAGCAAGCCATATACAGTATAACGAGTTTTACACTGCTCAACAGTTCAAAGCTTTCTTTGGCCTCATGACGGCAAATTGAAGATAATTTGGATGAGAATGAGAAATATGCTCATGGTGTGAGCGGTGAAGATACAGTGAGGTGCATGAAAAGGTTATATTAAAGAAGCCCTTCAAACCTTTAAATTCATGTTCGTGAAGCATCAAATATGAGAACACAAAGCTGTTTCTTACCATCTGTATCGTCCACCCCATTTGTCTCCTTTTTCGCTCTCTTCTTCTTGTGCTTTGGTGCTGGAACATCTTCTGTGCACATGAAGGGATAAATAAATAAAGCTAAGTCACATAAAAATGAGTTTGAGAAGAAATGCAACTTGTTTATTAGAAATATTTTTACCCACCTGTGTCTTGACTTCACATGTGCACAGGTCGCAAGAACAAAGAAAAGAGAGAAGAAAAGTTTAGTTTTGCTGTTTAAAGTGGACTTCGTTTGCTCATTTACTGCTTCAGTTTTTTATTCTTGGACTCTACTAGAGTCACTTTGCATGAATCAGAGTCCAAAATCATCCTCATTTATCTTATCCTGGGCTTTGGTGCAGCCCTTCAGTTCATCCCCTGTCTAAAAGCAGCCGTTTTAGCTCCTCCCCACCATAACTATATTAGAATTGACAGGTGTGTGAGGCTTTTGAGTCTGGGATGACCATATGACTGATAGCCCCTTTCTCTGATGTCGTACAGACCCAGGTAGAAAAAAATGAAGATACAGAGCAGTCTGAAGTCTGGCTGACTTATTGTGACCTCTAATTCAGTAGGTATTATTATCATTATTATTATTATTATTATTTCATTTGTATTTTGTTACATGCTTCTTTAATATGATGGCAATCTATTGCTGCCTCATCAGTGTTGAAAGTTGATCACAGTTCAGATCTTGTGCTTTTCCACTCACTGTTTAAGGTCTGACTATATATAAATTCAATCGGATTGGAAAGTTTCCTGTCCATTGTTCCTCTTATTCACTTATCTCCAAATTACTTAGTTGCTACTTTTGCCTTGTGATGTCGTGCGGGAAAACACAAAGACTGTCACCGGGATGCTCCTGGATCATTGAGACACACACACACCCCTCTTGCATCTGCATGGCAAAAAAGCTTCATAGGTCCCCTTTAGCATTACACCACAGTAGCTGCTTGAAATGAAGATGTTTACCCACCTCGACATTGTGGGAAGAGATCGCTGGCCTCTCTGGAGAAACACAGTGAAACACAGAAGTCAGATTTCTCCCTTTGTTCACTCATAAAAACCCCTCTAAAGAAGATTTTTATTCCTTCTTTTATAGATTTGGGTTGAAGTTTAACACATTAAATGCAGTTTTTTCATTCCCAAATCAGTCACACCAAAAAAGAAACCTATGTAAAAATAATTGGGAAATAAGACCTAGAGTTATATTTTCTGAATTTCTGTCCATACCAAGGGAACAACAAAAGTTATGAACACATTCTAGTAAATCTAGAAACAAAACTAAACACTTTTTATGACCTTTTTATTTGAAATCCTGCAAGAACAAGACCCTAAAACTGACCCTTGGGTATACACTGCTACTAGACACACCAGAGTCTGAGAAAATCTGACTGGAAAGCTTTTTGGTGCCATCAAATGCATCTTAAGCATATCTAATAACTATCACTCCTTCGGTAACAAGAACACAAGAACCAAAGAAACGTAATTTTGAAATTTAGACACAAACTGCCTGAAAGTGATATGGCTGCTCTTACAAAACAGGATAAGCCCATTATAAGAGATTATCTAAGCCACCAGCACTTGCATAACCAATGAAAAAGTTAAGATTTTAACGTAAAAAGTTCAAGAACTTTCAGTTATAACCCAGAGTCGGATAAAACAACCGAAGCAAGCATCTTACCGGCGTCTTTCTAGCCATTTCTCCCCCAAGAAACCAGCGAGACAGGAGTTAAGTGACACATGACATCCTGACTGTTTTATTCTCGGCTAAATCTGTGTTAGTACATCTGCCAGGACTGAGGATTACTCCGAGCACAGGTCAAGCCCCTTTTTCAGTGTCTTGGAGCGGCAGTGTGTATTTATGAGTGTGTCGGTGAGTAAAAACATCCAGGAAGTACTTCATCTGACGTAAACCGAGAAGGAAATCACTAAGATTTTTCAGAAATAAAAACCAAATCCCTTAAAAACAGGCTTTAAATTCACCAAGTCTGATTGTTCAAGTCTGTGTGAGGAGTTTATCAGATCTCTGGGTGCTTTTACTCGACTTTCTCCTGTTTCACTGAATAAGTTGTTGCTTAAGAGCACAAAAGAAAAAAAATGAAGGGTGGCGCAACACTTTTGCACAGGACTGTATGTCTCTAATGTCTTAATGATTTTAGTACATTTTGCGAGGTGCTACGGAAATAAAACTTATTATTATTAAAGGAAATGTAAAACCAAGTGTGGATCACTTTAATATTTCTCTAATAAGCTCCTAATTCAATATTTTCTCTATCAATAACTTTTTTGTTATAATTTAAGACCGAAAAAGTCTGGAAAAATAAATGTGTAAATAACATAAAGTAAATAAAATGAATAAAAACCAGCCACCACGTGACAAATCAACAGGTTCTTGTTGATTTTTATTAAAAGTTATTACAGAGGAGCTACAGAGCTGTTAGCTCAGATGAGGTTTGATTTACTCACCTGTGGGAGAGGCGGGAGCTCCCTCACCCTCCGCGTCTACACAGAAAACAGGCAGGTTACAAACACCGTCTGCTCTTTATTATCATCGTTTTCGCTCTTATTAGAATTCAGAGAAAGATTACACGAAAACAGCCTTTAAAGTGAACCAGAAAACGAGCTTTCTGCCCCCACAGGTACAATTAAGAGCAAATCACGCCATCCATTTAAATATGACCGTTATGTTGACTGTTCATGCATTATGTGTGCATATCTCTCACCGTTGCTCCTCCTGTATCCATAACCCGTTTAATATTATGCAGCTGGTAACTTTGTTTTATTCGCTTCAGTCGTTTAAAGCGAATAAATCGCTGTTTTTGTTGATTTTTCTTTTCCTTTTTTGCTTTGTTTACGCTCACTGAGCGGCGGGGTTGTGGCCCGGATGTATTTAGGAATAGTGTGACGCATTTCCGGTAGCTTAACATTTAGCAAAAATAAAATGAAAAAAAATTATTAAAATTGAAGCTTCCAGGTATTAATAATGTTTTGAAGACTACTTTGCCCCTCCCCCATTTTTAATGTCATGTAACCATGGCTGCTAATCTTATTTATTTTCTTGTTGGCTGGGAAATTACACGTTTTCTGCAATTTTAACAACTTTGTTTTGTTTTTTGAAGATATATGATATGAAAACAAATGCATAAATTACTATAAGAAGGGTGTTGCAAACTTTTATTTGTATTTTTTTTTTACTTTCAAGGATTAGCAAACATCAGTGCTTTGGGTGTACAGTAACATACCTTTAAAAAAAAATTTTTTTTTTGTTTATTTACGTTAATTGTTCATTTTACCCACCATTTTACATGAGAATGTGTCATTTTAGGCTGGAATGGATCAAGAAATCATTTATGGCCAAAGGGGACAAACATGCTTTAGATATATGTTTCTTTTATTGGAAGTCTGTGTACAAGAATAGGGAGGAGGGCAGGAAAAGAGGCAGTTTTGTTTGAATTTAAGTCCTGCAGGCGTCTTTAGTTGAAGAGGTGCTACATATGTTCCTGCTGACTGAAAAATTAAAAAACAAAACTGTGACAAACGGACACAAATTCAGGAATTTCTTTGAGCTTGGATCCAGCTTCATTTCATCTTTGGGGATTTGAAGAGACTTAAAGTCCAGCTCACATGTGACACACACACACACACACGCACACACACGCACACACACACACACACACACACACACACACACAGAGTATATTTACAAAAGCAATCACTGAATTTACATGTCACGATTTCATTTTTAAAAACTGTACAGTAAAAAAAAGAATCACTGCTTTGACCCGACATCCTCTCCTCTACTTTGCTCCTAGGACTCTGACGTGGGTCGAATCCAGCTGGCAGGGACCCACTGTGGCTCGTCCTGCGCCCTCATCACTGCTGTCAGCAGCTCAACGCAGGAGTCCTGCAGCTCATTGTTGATGATCACATGATCAAAGAACTGCCAGTAGTTTGACTCAATCTTCCGTGCTGCTTCCTCCATCTCCTGGAAGTCTTCATCCTGATGAAGTAAAACCAAAGATAAGACTACTTCTACTGTATGAGTGGGAGGTCTCATAGGCCGATATAGATTTTGCCTATTCTAATTAAAACAGAAGAAGTCAAGTTGGGGGTAAAGAAAAAGTTCCTATAAAATTTGAGACCTCCCAAATCAAATCCCTTCCCTTGTGTGTACCAATATCTTTGTAATGCTCTATTGGATGATAGCAATCACATGTGAATGTAAATAATTATCTTATTAGGAAAAAGAAATTTTTTTCTCCAAATTAAGAGTGGACGTTTTAACCAGACAACTAAGCCCAGCGTCATACTTTGAATGGCCGGTTGACGTAGTAGTTGGTGGTGATGTACGAGTCCTGTCTTGTCTCCCTGAGGCGCTCCAGAGTCGGAGGCTTAACATAGATGACGAAGGCCCTCAGTTCGTGTGTCCTCACTGCCTGGAGGGCCTAAAGAAGGATATACAAATTTACATGAAAACACTTTTATTTATCTATTGGCTCTCTTTACTGTGTCTGAGTTGGACTTGCGTTTGGCTCAATGTCGATGACGCAGATCTTGCCGCTGTTTAAAACCTCCTTTGCAGACTCAATGCTGGTGCCGTACATGTTCCCTTTGTGCTCGCCGTACTCCAGAAACCTGCCGGACAAAAAAAAGACAGAGACAGTGGGGCTAAAATCTATCGATTGTGGCTAAGCTCTCATCAGTTCCATCTACATTCCACAACTTCATTAAAGTTTTAATGTGTGCAGACAGCTGTACCTGTTGTGATAAACCATGTTCTCAAAGACTTCTCGGCTGACGAAGAAATATTCTCTGCCAGATTCCTCATATCCTCTGGGTGCTCTTGTAGTGTCTGGAGAAGGAAAAAAGAAAAATCAACCATTTAATCTGATTATTACAGAATCTGAGACAAAAACACAAAGAGCCCAGAAAGAAGAGAATGCCTAGGATTTCTCAGGTAACTCTGCTTTTTAATAGTGTTTTTGAATTCAATTAAAAATTTTCATGATGTCTGTGACTGAAAAGATGATTACGTACATGGCACTGGTCCCTGGAAGATGTTTGGGTTCATCTCAACCAAACGCCTTCGAAGTTCATTCACACCTACACCAGACGGACCTGAAAAAGCACGCGCATGTTAATTGTTTGTATATACTTTCATTCAACTGCTTGTTATTGCATTAGGCATTTAGACATGATCCAGATGACCTGCTGAAGTTCAAACTGAGCATCAGAATGAGGAAGAAAGATGATTTAAGTGACTTTGTCTGATGATTTCAGAAATGGGTGATCTGCTTGGATTTTCCTTAAACATCAATTTGTATTCACAGAATCAGAATCGTGTTTATTGGCCAAGTATATGTGCAGACACATACAAGGAATTTGGTTCCGGTAGATGGAGGTTCTCAAGCACAGCAATGTAAAAAACACACACACACACACACACACACACACACACACACACACACACACACACACACACACACACACGTCTATATATACATTACACATGCAAACACATACATACACAAAGAAGAGATAATATCCAGTTTGTCGCAGTTTTCTATGTGACTGCTTCAAGCTAATAGGAAGGCAACAATAACTCAAATAACCACTTGTTACAACCAAGTTATGAAGAGTTTAGAAAAATGTTGCCTGGTCTGAAAACATGGATCCATCCTCCCTTTTTATCAGCAGTTCCAGCTCGTGGTGGTGGTGTAACCGTATGGAGGACATTTTCTTGGCACACTTTAAGCCAGTAGTACTAATTGAGCATCATCATCGTCTTATGGCTCCTTCCAACGGGATAACACACCATTTCACACAAATCTCAAATCATCTCATACTGGTTATTTGAACAGCACCAAATGTGTGGCGCTGTCATGTCAATGTGGGCCAAAATCTCTGAGGAGTGTTTCCAGCACCTTGTTGAATTATGACAGCTCTGAAGATAAAAGAGCACCCACCCCGATTCTATCAAGGTGTATCTAAAAGGCTTATGAGTGTAGATGTTTGGTAAAATAAACTAAAGGACTGAAATGTTTTCTGTACCTAAGAGGACAATGAGGCGGTGTACATCCTCTGAGTGGCGCTGGTAACGAACCACCTCCTCATATGGACTGTTGAGGGCACTGTAGCAGCTGCTGGTGCAACGGGTGTTGCAGGACGGCTGGGTGGTGCTATGAGCCCGCCGCCGACACAGACGCATGCTGCGCCTAAAGCCCGCTGATGAAAAAGAACAGATGTCAGTAGATAACCCTCAAAAATGGATCCACAACACACACAGAAACAGAACTAAACTCTAAATATACCAACGAGTTTGAGCAACATCATAAGAGAAATAATTTGCTGCTCGAGAAGGCTTACCTAAATATATTCCTTCAATGTTGCTTCTAAAGTCATCCTCCTTTGGTTTGGATTAAAAAAAAAAAAAAAGCAGGCCGTAACACGGTGAGACATGTGGAAAAAAGATCGGTAACAACAATAAAAGAGATGTAAAAAATACAGATGTTTGCACACAGTGTAATTAAAAATAATTCTGCAAAACACAGTGAATAATGCAGAGCCACTCCTCATGGTTCAGACATCTTATCAGGATGCATCCTGGGTGCCTCCTACATGAGATGTTTCAGGAAAGGAATGGAGGCCCGGGACACACTGGGAAGATTACATCTCTGCAACAGCTAGTCTTCTGTGCATTTCAATTATTTTTATTTTAGGGTCAAATTACCTCCAAATGGTTTTGTTAATAATTTTTTACTTGAATTTACTGAAAACTAAGCAATACCAGAGTCCAAGGATGCGTAGTAACCGCTAAAGTAATAACGTGGGAACTTTAAGTTGTAAATTTGCTATATATACTTTTTTTCCCCTTTACATTAGATTTATTAGTTGTAAGTTGTTCCTGGGTAATCCAGATGATAGCCAATGTGTGTTGGTGGGGAGCGAGACAGAGATACACAGGATTGGATTTTATCTGTGACCTTAAACCAATCAAAGCAACTACATCAGCCCGCGTGTCCCATAAAGCCTCCACCCTAAAACAAAGTCTAAAATATTTCTGCAAATTCAAACAGTACTTGAGGGATTTATGATGCACTGCTGGATTAAAAGAAAAAGTCAGATAAGCATACATACAGTATTTAGTCTTTAGTGTGGTTCATGCCACAAAAACACTGGATCCTTCCCATTTCCCACAATGCAACACACCTGTTACAAATAATAACAGAGGATTTGTGCTACGATTATGGGTAGGGGTGGGTTTTTATAATCGATTTATCGATTAAAATCGATTCTGGCTTGGATAACGTGAAATCGATTCATTAAAATCCTGAATCGATGTTTTAATATAAATTTATTTTGCCCGAAATGCCAGAATCTCAGGTGAAACCTCAAAATTTCAACAACCACCAAACAGCTAAATGAGAGCAGGAACACGGATTCTGCACAGAGGCGTAAACACAAAGTGTGGACCCACGGATCAGAATCAGTGAGATGTGCCTTTCTCACCCGACGGCACGGACACGGTCGGGGCTGAAAGCCGACAGCTCACTGATTCTGATGTTTTGGCGGGTCTGCGCTTTGTGTTTACGCCCTTTTTGCACTGATTCTAAAGCTGTTAGTTTTACCTCTCCCCAAACAATACTGACCAAACAAGCAGCAAAAGAAGAGCCAAACTGCGCTTCACATAAACATCGTCATGAATTCCCTCACTGTTTTGCTTCCACCACGATAAAATCACACTTCATGCACATCTCTCTCTCTCTCTCTCTCTGTACTTCAAGAACAGTTTCCCATCTAAAAATATGTTTTCTGCATTATTCGCTTGCTTGTTACGCACAAGTCTACCGTTGTTTACAGCGCTGTTGACCGCTGTTTTTTTTTCGTTTTACATACTTCCGAAAAGAAAACCTAATTTCTGCCGTTCAATACTGAACAAATTTAAACTTTCTAAAAGTATGCAAAATGCTCAGCCGTGTATCTAATAAAACCGCTGTAACTTCAGAGGTAATGTTCATGTGTTGATTAATGGTTTTCTTTTGTTTTTGATGTACTGCAGAATATTTTATAAAATCCCAGGCCAGGAAAATCACCTTCATGTTTTTCTGTGTTTTGTCTTCAGCTACTTTGACACAAAGGCATCTGCTGTGACGCTCACACCTTTGATAAAGTCTTACAAGGTTCAGCTTCCTTTTTATAGATACAAAAATATGTAAATGTACTGATCTGAATTATAATATTTCTAACTGTCAAAATTTCCCAGATTGAAATCGAATTGAATTGAATCAAATCAAATCGAATTGAATCGATTCTAGAAATCAGTGACGATACCCAGCCCTAGTTATGGGGTACTTTGCAAACTGCTTTGTGTCAATGTTTTATGCTTACACTTGATTTTCTTTGCTTTTCCAGCGCTACTATTAAATATTATGTTGAAAAATTCATACCTCTGTTAAAACCAGTTTTACATTGAAATATAAATCTCACAATTTATGGCCTAATTTGTTTTTCCTATAAACATCTGCGAAGGCAGTATCACGGGATATACCACACTTTCAATCGCAAAACTCAACTGTCTTTCAATCGCAAAAACTAAACCAGTTTAGTGTCGGTGACTGTTACATGTGCCTCGCTGAGCCAGCACATTAACTACCATGTTTTTCTTTTTTCTGTCATTGTTAATAATCTGAAGGTCAGCTGCATATATAAAGCCAGATGCAGCTATGCTATGGGCCGCTCTTTCTCTCTCTTCTATCAGCATCAACCTTTGGCTTTAGTTGCTGTTTGAAATTTGCTTTGGTCAGTTGGGAGCAACAGCAATCAAACTGATGAAGCGTTGTGAGTTTGCTTCAGTTTTTCTTATTTGCTTTCTTTGGGAGAAATTATTTTTGTATTATTTAAAAATTCTTAGACTTACTACTCAAATGTTTCTCTGAGCCATGGATGTAAGAACTAACATTTTTGGGGGCTAGTCCGGGATTCAACTTAAACCTCTTGCACCCAGGCTGAGAGTCATATCCCTAGGTCAGAGTGGAGGAACAGAAAGAAGCATAATTTCAAAGTGCATTTTGGGTAAACTTTCGCTGGTCATATCACCATATGGGCTAGATGGCTGCTCAAAGCAAGCTGGAGCATATGAAAAGGTCTCCTTTTTATCTACCATTTAATGCTAGGCTCGTCTTTTTGTAAAAATCTTGGTTATTTTTTATGTAATGACTCCAATAAAAGCCCTACACACTAAAATGTCAAACATGAAAAAAAGAAAGCATGCAAAATAATACAGTGCATCATTTTGACCTGAAATCAACCAAAGCAACTGCGTCAGCCTCCATTTCCCAGATGTAAATTACTGGAAAGTCTAAATTACCTCTGCAAATTAAACAGCACTTCAGGGATTTATGATGCACTGCTGGATTAACAGAAAAAAAAAGTCTGCGGCAAAAGAGAAACCCCGGCGATAAGCTACAAAAACACCAAATGCTACATTTCTTAAGATGCAACACACCAATTATAAAACAGAGGACCGTTATGCTCATATTTTGTGTTTCTATACTGGCTCCTGCACTATTGAATTTTATTGTTTTAATATATGATTTAATATCAGTCCAAGTAAGAACATGTGACCTATCTCCATAACAAGTCAGGAGGTCTGCTCTTTTAATTACAGTTTTTTCTGAATGCTTAAACCCTAACTGTGATTCCTGTAGCACAATTTCTAAAACTATTCAGACTTATAGCAAAACCACTCACTGAGTTTGCAAAACTAAAAGCACAAAAACTGCTTTGCACTCAGTTTGCAATTTTGTAACACACACTTTGCAAAACTGTAGGCACAATTCACTGCACAACACTCGATTACCAAATTTCCAACACACTCCTAGCAAAAGTATACACATGTATGGGTATCATTAACACTAATTTGCCAACTGTCTGGCACACTTTCACATGTGAAAACTTTTTTAGATAAGTAGTTCACTTTGCAATCAGCCTAAGCACTATAGTACAGGTAAGCTGTGTGTGCGGAGTACAATGGAAGGAGCAGTAAGAGTGAGAAGAGTGAGAATCAGAGGAGGCCGAGGGAGAGGACGTGGAGGTGAAGAAGTTGGAGGAAGAGGACGTGGAGGAGCAAGAAGAGGACGAGGAGGGGAAAGAGGAAGGGTAAGAAGAGTAAGAAACAGAACAACTGATGACACCAGAGCTACAATGGTGGACCATGTCATCAACCATGGGATGACCCTGAGGGAAGCTGGCCAACG